TGTTAATCCGGACTCGTCGGGACTTCGGCGATTCCGGATTGTCGATTTTTCCGGATTATAGATCATCAGTTTAAATCTGGTAAGATGGCATGCAGAAATTATAAAATTAAAAATATGAAACCGTAATTTATGAAATAAAGAACAATTATGATCTAAAGGGTATCAAAATTTACAAAAAAAAAAAAAAAAAAAAAAAAGCTTAATATTTATTTGTTTACTTTATTAAACATTTCTTTCAATGTAAGTTGTTTAAGTTGCTTCGTTTTTTATGTGATAATACATTCTCTTTAATTCTATAAACAGACATAATTTCTTGTTCAGTTACAAAGTTCCGCTGTTCAAGTCCTGTAATTGCTGTGTCGAGAATACCGACTAATTTGTCAATCGAAATTTTTCGTTTTCAATAACCTCTGTCACTTTCTTCGCTATCGGAAGCGAATTATAATGACGAGGAATTTGATTAAATCATATCAAAGACGGAGTACATCGAGATGAAATACTACATTTAATAAGGAATTATAAGCCAAATAAAATAAAAACATCTGCCCTGAAGATAAGGATAGTGCTGACAGATCAACTTCCAATTCATTGCGCGGCACCGCGGCGTTAAAGATAAACAAAGTTTAGATAAACAAACGTTAAAGTTTAGATAAACAAAGGATATGCCTTTATCCATTTTTTGCAGCAATTCCACTTTTTGTTTAATGAACTTCGAAACATACTTTCGCTTTGTAGATCCTTTACATATTAATAAATATATATCAGAAATTCTATTTGACATAATCGAAAGTTCAAGCTTACTTTTATAAAATTGCTCTAACAGTCTGCAAAAAATAATAAGCCGGATCCAATTCGAAGATTAAGGAACAACGCAATCTGCAACATTAACTGAAATAGATAATTAATTTAGCTTAGCTTATACCGTCCGTTATACATTAAACGCGCACTCGTAAACGTATTTGCGCACGCGCACAAGCATATTCGCAGCCGTAAAGGCCTTACGCGCATGCGCAGAAAGTTTGAAGCTTTGAAGTCCGGATTATAGATCATTCCGGATTATGGGTGTCCGAATTAACGACTTTTCTCTGTACCTGTCATTATGGTTTATTGTTAGAAAATATGAACAGCTATTTTTCTATATTTTAGATCTTTCATATGTGAACAGTACTGTAGATTGTTTCTAGTTCTAAATCTATTCCACATTTCGGTTAGTTAAAATTTATTTGGCCTAACTAAAGTACTTGAAATGAATCGCCTTTATTTGCCATTGTTGTTATATTTACAATCGCTGATATATAATAGTAACAGCACTTAGAATATGATTAAGTTCTTGTTTTTAAGGCCATACATATTTTCCTATAGTAAGATGTTTATGATTTCTAACTCGAATTTTACTCGAACTCGGACTTTAACGAACCATAAATTGTTCTTTAAAAGGCCAGAGCTTAATTTCTAAAACTAGAACTGCCACAGCCCTACAGAAGGCGGCGAAGAAAGAAGAAAAAAATAATAAATAACTAGTAATTAAGGTATATAAATATTTAAATACAGTTTAAATTCAATAAAACATAAATAAAAAATAACAAATTATTAAGTTAGTGAAAATAGTAAAAACAATAAAATAAAAAAATAAAAAAATAAAAAAAAATAAAAAAAAATAAAAAAAAATAAAAAATAAATAAAAAAAAAACGAAGGTTTTAGATTTTAAATTACGTCCAAAGGGGCGTTTTGTTAACGTTTTGTGTGTTACCTTTATTTATTAAATATCATGTTCTTGGCACTTAAACCATAAAATTCAGTTCAACAGAAATATCGCGATATAATTTTAAAATGAGCATATCTTTAGAATTTCCGATACACAATTCCGCGTTCTAAAGATAAAAAGTTTTTTTTTTTTTTTTTTTTTTTTTTCCCAGTAGAGTGTTGCTATTGCTCGCTTTTAAATCGTTGAGTTTGTTAATCAAAATTTATGTTTAAGTTTTACAAAATATGAAATAGATAATAAAACAAATTCCATTTTGGGGTTTCCAGATGCCCATATTCGGGTGGAAACGTACGTTATTCAAAATTGGATGGCTCCGTTGTTTTATCATTAGTGCGAGAAACATACATTTATGCAGATTTTTCATTATTTAATTTCTTGAAATGAATACAGGGCGATAATATTTAATGGCGACATTTATAGTGAGCCAACGCAAAATGCCAAAACGAAAATAATAGTCCTTCAGGGCAAATTGCCCCTTTGGACTAAAAATATCGGGCCTTATCTTATTTAAGGCTACGGCGGGGATCACAATTTCACTCAAAAACTAATAAATAGTTCATAAAGACTTTAGCGGTACTTCAGCTTGGAATACAATGTATAACGCATTATCAAGAGATGACAGAAATAGATAACATGATATATAGAGAGAGGATAGAAACAAGCAATGACAGGGAAAAAAAAAAAAAAAACTTCGTTTTCCAACAGACCAACGAAAAAAAGGTAAAACCGTTGAAGCATCACGAATGAAAATAAAGAGAATTTTAGAAATGCTATGAGAGTACGGGCAGAAATTTTAACGGCGAAATGTAGTGCCGAAAACAAAGAGAGAAGAGTCCGGCACTGTCTGACCGCGATCCCATGTTGATATAATTCTAGCAGTCAAAAAGAATGTGACGATAAAAAAAGCTTGCCCTGAATCCAAGCCTATAACAGCGAAAGAAACATAAGGGTCTATACAATTGCCAACTTTCTTCACCTGTATTTGTTTACATCATTCCAAAAATCCTATCTTTTTTTGGGGAGTAAATAGTGTTGTACGTACCCGTCCAAGGCGATCACGTTTAGCACTTTCGAGAATGAAAACTGTGTCCGTTCCCATAAATTCATTGCACTTCCTGCAGAAATAATCTTAGATTTGTAGGTGGAGAGCTTTTCTTTCATTGAAAGTCTTAACCTCCGTCAAAGGGTTTGTTTTTCACGAAAAGATAGACATGCATCCAGAAGTTAGAATTGATTTTTAAGGCTTATTTGTTATTAAATTAAATTTTTTACGCTGAAATTGTGGTTCATTTACATAAGAGAAGCACCGGAGCCCCTTTTAGCCAAGGCTCCGGCTAGAATTATGACTTACTCGCGTATAAGTCGACCCCCCCCCCCCACTTTGACATAAAAAATTCGTAGAAAATAAGAAACCCGCGTATAAGTCGACCCCCCCTTCCGAAATCGATCGAGAAACTTCGAAAAATTTTTTTTTAAGTACTACATTTATTCAAAATCATCTGAGGAAAAAAAGTAAATATACGATAAAAAATACCTTGGTAAATAAACAAAATCAAAATCCTTCAACGTCCGATTCATGGTCAGATTCGCCAAACATTTCATAGAACTCTTCTGTCGTCATTGGCTCGTCATCATACATATTTTCAGTCTCGAACTCTGTATTGTTACAATCACTACTAGAGCCTTCGTCGTCATTTTCACTTTCAAAAACAGCATCATCTTCCGTGCCGTCTAGTTCGTTGCTAATACAACATTTTTTAAATGATTTTATAATCATTTCAGAGGGTATTTCGTTCCAAGCATCTTTAACCCACTGAGCAATTAATGTAATATCGGGCTTTTTAATGTTGCCTCCCTTTGTAAATGTTGGTCGACCGGAACTAATCCACTCTGCCCAATATTTTCTAACATTTACTTTGAAGGGCTTATTGAGGCAGACATCTAGGGGTTGAATGACGGATGTCAATCCTCCCGGAATTACGGCCACAGTCGTTTTTAGGTGTTTTGTCACTTTTGTCACTTCTTCAGAAAAGTGTCCACGAAAAGAATCGTATACTAAAAGAGAAGGTTTTTTGAAAGCTGCTCCCGGTCTTTTATCCCACACATTTTTAAGCCAATCGACTGTTCCGTCAGCATCCATCCATCCCTTTTCATGGGCGCGAACCAGCACACCTGATGGAAACACAACGTTTTTCGGTAAAGTTTTTCTTTCAAAATGATCAACGGACGATCTTTAAAAATTACTATCTGCATTTCTCTTTTCTTGGCGTGTTGGCGAAACTTTTTTATTGCTCGATATTGATCGGTTGTTCGGGGGCCGAAAATTCTTTGGTTTAATCGAAACGTACTCTAGTTAAAGTATGAAACTCTGTGATTAGTTCGTCACATAATTTAAGTCATGAAATTACTTCAAGTAAGTGACTTATTTGATAAGTCGTCCAATTTGAGCGCGGGAAGAAAACAAGGGCATTATATAAAGAAATTTTTGAACTTCCGATTCTTTTAATTTTTTATGGCCCCACGTATAAGTCGACCCCCGCACTTTGAAGTCTTTTTTTTGTCCAAAATATCTCGACTTATACGCGGGTATATACGGTACTTCAAAAACTGAGAAGAAAGATGGGCTCCGGCGCAATTTAAACTCGGATGCCTATTGATCATTATTTACCTTTCCTGGTGATAAGAACTGATATTTCTGACATTTTATATTATTTCCTCATTTTTATTCTTTGGCCAGTCAAGGTCAAATATTTCATTTCCTTCTTCTTCTTTTTTTTTTTTTTTTTTTTTTTTTTAACGTTCTTAATCGTGAAACAGATTTTTTCCTTGACAAAATATGTCAAATGTCGCAATTATTGAAAAAGTTTACATTCACTTCCATTTGTGAAGCAGTACCATATTATCTTCGATTACGAGCTGATATTGTGTAGAAAAAGGAAGTCATGAGCTGTCTACTTTTTTTTTTTAAATAGATTTCGTAATGCGCGGAGTTTATAAACCAATTATTCATTCGCTCTGATACAAACATGAAATCTTCTGATACGAATAACTAAATAATCTTTTTTTTTTTCCTGATAATAGCGACGAGGTCAGATACATATATACCAGGAACATTGCAAAAAATATTATTCAGAGATTATTTTTTTTAATTTCAAAAAGAAACTCTTGTAATCTACTAGTGATAATATCTTTAATTTATAGCATTATCTGATTTCTATAGCATATAAAATATCAGGAGCAGTCAATCGCAGTCACATAAGTTTTTTACAACAACTGTAATAACATGGCATGTTTACACAGCGTCTCTAAATGTGCTGCTTTAATCTTCGTCGTTTTATTGACACTGAACGAATGTAACTGTAAAACGATACCTCGTCATATTGACTTACTCTATGATCCCGACATGGGTAGAAATGTGGTAAGTACACTTTCTTACTAATTAAAGAGTAATTTTTATTTCATTTCTTTATTTGACTAAAATCACAACGATAAAGAATTCAACAGTTAATTTATCGTAGCTAGTCCCCGCTTAATAGAACTGCGTACAATAAAAATTACTCTTAATGCGTTTAACCAACGATTAATCAGCTAAAACTTAGCTAAACCGAAACAACGAAAAAAAGTCTTCTAAAAATCAGCTGCTCTCAATGTTTTTTAATCTTTCCAGCTCTTTAATTTTTAAAACTGGATACACATTTTATAATAAAAATGTCGCAGGTAACATTTGTTTTTATTATAAATGTTTATGATCAAAACAAATAAACTCTTTGTATAGCATAATAAAATAGTGAGTTAGTGAAATCAGCAGACAATTTCCATTGTGCACTCTTCAATAAATGGTGACGCAGTATACTAGTAGAGGCTTGTAGTCATTGGTAGTGTAGGTAATACAGAAAAACGTACAAGAAAATTAAAGTCTGGTATTCTTTTCAAAGCGTTTATTTTAAATATATTATAAACACTTATTTTTTTAAAATTAAAGTCCAATTAAATTATATTTTATTCAACTTCCCAGTAAAATATAATTTTTAATGGAAAACTAAACGGGTAATCATTTGAGCATGCTGGTATAAATTTAGAAGACCCGGTCTTAGGTATGGCCCATTATTCTTAATCAAATATATTCGAGAATTCGTATTACAGATCTTTATATTTGGTTGGAATAACAGATTGGATTTTATTTAAAAACGATCAACTGAAAGTGATACTTTACTTAAAGTTCGTTCCTATTTTAAATATGGAATGGGCGGCAGGGGTCGCGGGTGAAATCCTCGCAGAGAAAACAACGCAAGGCGGTAATGTCGACGTACAAAACAGAAAGCAAGCAGAAAACATGTTAGCTCTAAAAGATCACAGTACAAAACATCGTCATCGAAAGTAAAGCGGTTCAAAAATTTCGCAGTTTAAAAACATCATCGTCGAAAATATCGTAGTAAAAAATAAAGCACCTAAAAATCATCACATGACGATAACATCGCACACATGCGTTTTTCAAGCTTCACATGTTTTTTAATAGGTCGCATTTGGAGAACATGACAGTTATGAATTATTTTTCCGCCATTCTTCGAAGATAATGCTATATGGAAGTCAAACCCTACATTTACCTCGTTGATTTCTAACGCTTGTTTCGCTTGTTTCGCACTCTTTGTTTCCTTCATAAGCCATAATACATTGCAAATGTACAAAATAAATTGCTACACTTATTCAAGGGAAAAACAATCTAACACAGTAAAATAAAATCCAAGTAAACATTGCATATCGCATCGCAACATATCGATCGATTTTAAATAAACATGATCTCATTAGTTCAGCGCCCGAAGAAGAAATGAGATCACGACAGATAATGACATAACTGCCAAGACTTCCACCACAGCTCAGATAAGTGCAGATTACAACCTCGATACGTTAAATGTGCGGGATCACACAAAATAAGTGACTGCGTCGCGAAACAAATTAGAAACAGTAAACTATTGTAACCGCCTTGAAATTGGGCATACAGTTAATTACAAGTGTTGTTCAAAATTTCCAAAAGTTATTAGGAACAGCCAAAATACTGATAAAATCCCGCAGCTAAAAACTGATGGAAATAACACGAGTGTTACTAAATCATCCCAAGTTAATACCTCGAATTACTTATGCTGATGTTATACAAAATAAAAATGTGAACTACAGGACTGATTCAAAACCTTGGACTGAAACTAACAAAAAAAGTGATAAACCTGAAAAAAACCAACGGACATGGACTAAATATTTTTATGGACATTTTTAAGCTATTCAAAAAACTAAATAATATGCTTGGGTTAGTCTTTATCTAACATAATTTCGAAAATATTGGCTAAAATGCCGGAAATTAATGCTGCTGAAAACGCCACCGATAAACTGTTTATTCTGTTCAACCTATTTGAAGAAATTTTCACTGCTTATGAAAAATAATAAGTTTTGTGTTGTAATTCCCTGTCAGTATTATCTAATGTTCTATATTATAAATTTTCTGTCAAAAATACCTAATGTTTTATACTATAAATTTTCTATATTTTCTAGCAAATTCTTAATTAGTATCGACCAAAAAAAAATATGTTATGTGTTTTCTTCTGTGTTGTAATGTATCGAGTTCGTATTTGCTGCTTACATTCTTATCTGATAATTAGTTATCTTATGTATGTATATTTATGCAATTCAGTATCAGTATTTCTTTACTTCTACTCTCACTTGCCGAAAGACTCACACTTAATTATACTCCACCTTTGTTTTACTGTACTTAACTTTTCAGCTAACTTAGTCATCAGCTCGCAAGGCTTTATCCAGTTGCTTTCTCTAATTTTTGAATCGAACTTATTGCCGCTTTCATGTACAATTTTTAGCAAATCATCCTTTCTTCGGCACATTTTTTAAGCTTTACGATTTGCCTATTGTTATCTTTCAAAATTCAAAATTCTCTTAGATTTTAGCTTGCAGTTAATTCGCTTGAACATGTATTAGGGGAGTATCAACTTCGTTCGATAAGGGGGTACCCTGGTATTTACACCAGCATACCCCTGGTACACGATAAGGGAATATCCTGGTAAGGCATTCAGGCCAGATACCCTGGTGTTTACACCGCTCCCCTCCGTAACACAGATAATAATTTAAATGTCCTGTGTGACTAAGATACTTTAATTTAAATGACTAAGATTGATTTAAATGACTAAGATATGATAGCTGTAAGAAACAAACCTCATACCGTTATGGAACCACCGTAAACTAAATTTCTTTTGTTGACATGGTAGAGCCATTCATTAAAATGGATTTTTCCATTTGAATGAGAGCTCCTGCACAAATAACTCCAATCCTCAATTGTCCGGTGTGTGCCATAGTTGCCGAGACCAGACGAGCTAAGCTCTGTGTTGTGCATTCGTGAAGTGCACACTGGTTGAATGCCGGAATGAAAGGACATTTTTACAGTCCTCACAATCGTATTTCTTGAAGCCTCAGCAATAAACTCCAAACTTATTTGAGGCTTGAAAGGGTTTTCACTATTTGATGTTGATCGTGGTTAATCCAGAAATTTTTTATTGTTGTAAATTCTAATTTTTGCCAGAATCCTCGACCCGTGAAAGGGTTTCGTGTGAAGATCGTCTGTGTTGCCGAAATGTTTTGACCCAGTTTACGAGACCGCATTAAAAATCTTATAACTTTGCCATTCCCAATGCGGAAAAATATATATATGCATTAGAAGATATAACTAATGACGTGCATAAATTGCATTACTTGAATTCTGCTTAGACTCATCTGTATGAATTCTTCTGGGACTTCAGTGTTTATCTCATATGCATTTCAAATAAATAAATATATGTGAAAATTTTCATAGTGTAATAACGGGTGGCCATAATTAAACTGACAGTGCTCACAGTGTTCTGTAGCGCGATCTAGTATTTGCGAGAATGACGCCACATTTTGTAGGAAGGTTAAACAAGACGGGGGACGAAGGATTCCGCGAAAAAACAAATTAGTTCCAAAAGTCACCGCTAGGAGAATATTTGGCGCTGTGTAATAGAAAATAGAGTGTTAACAAATGCAAATTAATACGGAATAAAATTACCTTTTATTATGCACATTTTCTGATTTAGTTCAAGTGCAATATGGCAACACTTTTAAAAAAACGTAAAATCTACATAAACACCGATAAAGTCTCGTGATCTGCAATATCACGTACGCTGAGCAGAAGAAGAAGTTCTTTATTCAAATTTCACGTTACATCCATTCGCACAGTGCCAGCTGCTTGGGTTTTAAAAGGCAATGTGTTACGTTTCGAATCAATCGGATTGAAAGTTTATGTGCAATGTCTCCTTCTTTAGTCGAGCGTGCGTTACTGGTCAAATTCTTTTACCTCACCCAGTGCAACACGTCAGCCGCTCTTCATGCTTTTAGAACGCACAAAAAAATGCATGAAGGTAACGGTCCTGTGTCAGTTAATGGGCTAAAAGCAATGGTTGCGACGTTTGAGAAAACAGGTTCTCTGAAGGTTCAGTCAGGCAGAGGACGAAAACCTGTACCACAGGATACAATCGAAGCAGTTGCCACGGCGATTGTCGACAGAGGACCAGACAATATTGCTGCCACCTCTAGCGCTCGTGGAGTAGCTCGGAATATGGATATGCCTTACAGTACGGTATAGAAAATCTTACGAAAGATTATCAACTTCTATCCGTACAAGATCAGCCGTGTACAGGAGTTACTGTACCCCGACCATGATAAGCGATTGACTTTTGCTCTCACCTTTCTTGCCAGAATGGAGGTGGATGATGCTTGGCCGTGGAAAATCTTATGGGGAGATGAGGCCCACTTTTACCTGAATGGAACTGTGAATACCCAGAACTGCCGAATTTGGGATGACAAATCACCACATGCAGTCACAGCAATTCCCTTACATTCACCAAAGGTAACTGTTTGGTGTGGGTTCACAGCGGAATTTATCATAGGTTCATTCTTCTATGAGAACATTACCCCGACAGAACCGGAAACCTGTTCTGTTACCGGAGAGAAATATCGCCACATGTTGAACAGCTTTGTCATTCCGGCACTTCAGCAAAGACAATGCCTGGGGGAAATCATTTTCATGCAAGATAGAGTCCCTCCACACGTTGCAGTACGGGGGCAACAGATGCTACGACAGAAATTCACAACAGAAAGAGTCATTAGCCGCTACTTTCCAACTACATGGCCACCTCGGTCGCCTGATCTTATCCCATGCGACTTCTGGCTATGGGGTTACCTTAAGTCCAAGTTCTATCAAGGCATATACATATAGCAGTTACTTTAAGTTTTGATAACAATTTAAACCATGTCCTGTGTGTATCCTTTGATTCACAATATTCTCTTAAAATGGAGGACTATGCAAGTTAAAAGCACATGAAAGAAAGCATTTATAGAAAGCTTACG